CCTGCCGACCAATAGGAAACAATTGGGCGGAGCTAGCTGTCACCGCTGGCTCTGCCCAATTGTTTTTCTTTTGCCGGCATCTGTCAGATGCTTCATCATGTGGCGGGAGTCCGTCGCATGCGATCAGGTCGGCGTGCAGCGGGTTTCTTTAAAATTACTTTTTATTTTATTTTCTTTGAAATATTTTTATTTATTTTTTAATTTTCCTATTTTTTTTACATTTTTAAGTTATTTTTCAACTTTTTTTCTTTTCATTCTTTTCACTTATTTTCTATTCTGCTTGCTACCTCGGAGGTAGCGAGAAGAATAGCCAAGCTGAATGCCACTATTCACTCACTGCCGTTCGACCTCTGTGAGAATAGGGGCGAACGGCAGCGAGTGAGCTGCCGGAGCTTCGGCTCAGCTAATCCAGATGTTGGATCAGAGCAGAGCATGTTCAGCTGACGAAGGCAGCCAATGTACAGCTGATTTTAGCCGATGTACAGCTGAAATCAGCCGTACAAGACTGAAGGGAATAGCCGAACAGCTGGGTATTTCACTCAGCTGCCTTTGGCAGCTTTGTGAATAACCCCCTTAAAATGAACCCATTACCTTACCCCTAAAACTTAACATGTCACTTGTCGCCATTTATAACTCTCAGTCTGTCATTATTCAGGGCATTCATCGCTGCCTCAGAGAAGAAAGCTAAAATGGCCGATACAACACTCTTGGATAAGAAGAGAGTTACACTTTGTAAGCAAGAACTGGTAAGACATCTTTTCTGCAGAGACCCTCTCCTATACTGAATGTAAAAATAAGAACAATAAAGAAAAGCATGAAAAAGTACTGCTCACAATGTTCACTAATCTCACCATGGCAGCATCTCTTCATTTTACAAGTTAGAGAAGAGCTTTAGGTTTTTAAAAGTTAACGCTTGGAGTGGGGCTCCCCCCTGCACTGCAAGGGTTAACTGCTTGTTTTCCTCTAGGGGTGAAATATAGAAGATATACTCATCTCATCCTTGATCCTGTGACAGTGACCACTCACTTATCTCCCTTCCACCCGAGCTATGGTATGTCCCTCAGCAGCCTCACAACTAATGAACCTGTATTAGACGTGATGACATCACAGGTCCTTAGACCACTGGAGACTGGGGGAGAAGAGGCTGCATGGACATGTCTAGCAGCCAAATGATACCGAGAATCACCTAAGTATATATTTTTTTATTTTAGCACCTAAACCAAAGCAAGCAGTTAACCCTTCTTAACAGAAAATGTGTAACAGTCCCTCAGTTTCCATAATTTTGTCACCTTTAGAGTACCAGTCCATTAGATAGGACTGGTGCATGGATTTCCAATAAGTGATTAGTTTTGCAGCATTCACTTTGGGGTACATTTATAAAGCAATGAATTTGACATTCAACAAACATTCACTGCAGACATGTCTTCCTGGTGCATGTGCTTTGAATGACAGTGATTGATTCACTACCAATAAATCTTTGGTGAAAATCGCATTTATTGATTTATAAATATGACCCTTTATAAAGTCTTTTAAGAGATATGCAACAGGTAAAATTGTTTAATTTACCTTAATTACTTTTAAAATGCAAAAAAATAATTTTTTGAAAAGCCTTAGTTTTCCTGCTTTACTGTGTAAAGTCAAGGTGGATTCTGGCAGGATGTATGGGAGATACTGCATGGGTGGGGATCTCTATGCTCTCTCTCACCACTAGACTTTACATTTATTTAATATTACGGATGATGCAATAGGAGGAGTTGGACCACCTCAAATTTGTCAGGAACAGCCGTAAGTCTAAGGGACATGTTGCACTAGTGATCCTGACACTGCTGGGAACTTGGCAGCAACAGGATCCCTGAAACCAACATGGGAGTGACATATCGCTCATCCAGCCAGGTAATGGAGTGACACATGGAGGTAGTTGAGTAATACAGTTTTTCTCTGCATACTGTATAACACCTGTCACTAGCGACATCTCACCTTCAACACGATTGCTTGTGTAACATTGTTAAGAACCAGAGGTCTTGCTGCACTCCTTACCAGAACATCCACAGACCCGTGCAAACGGGTGGGTGCTTTTAGTGACCACGGGTGGCACCGTGGATAACTCAAATAAAGAAGTAGAGTCACCAGCACTCCAAATAGTAACTTTAGCAATAGTCCATTTAATGACACATTGCCATTCAATGCAAGCGCTTTTGGGGCCTCAAGGGGTCCCCTTCATCATTCTGAGCCTGATGAAGGGGACCCCTTGAGGCCCCGAAAGCGCTTGCATTGAATGGCAATGTGTCATTAAACGGACTAAAATTACTATTTGGAGTGCTGGCGACTTTATTTCTTTCTTTGCTTGTGTAACATGGCCCTATGGTGAACAGAAACAATGCCATGAACTCGTGGGTGACTTTGGCCACCCAAATCCATCTGACTGGAATATCCCTTTTGGCTAGGCTGACACTTTAAACTTATGTCTCTTGTGACTTTCAGGAAGGGATGTCAAGCGAAGCCAAAACAATTGTACAGCAGAAGAAGAAGATGTCAATGAATGAGATGACCAGAGAGATGCAGAGTTTCATTGACAGGATCAAGTTTCTGGTGGATGAGGTATGCCATGCTGCAGCTATCAGCCACGTATCGTGATTCTGGTGATACTAAGTGCTTCACTTAAAGTACAACTAAAGGATGCAGTATGACTGTCTAAACAAGTCCCGAATACAGTTAATATGTGATACAAAAGCCTTATAAAGGTAACGAAAAACAACCTTCCCTGACTGAGCCAAAATGTTATTTTTTGTCCCTGACTGGTAGTCCTAAAAGATTTGGAGTGGGATTAGGTGATGCCATTACAGTGCTCCTTACTGTTCTCCTTCCGGGAGGCTTTGACATGAGGAAGGAAAGCCCTGCCTCTACCAAGATGGTCGCCACCATACAGCATCACTGTGCGGAACAGAGCATGGCACATAATAAGTAATGTAATGTCCAAGTAATGTGTAACATAGTAATGTGGACACAAAATCAACTAAAGGGAGATCACAGGCAATACTTGTGACTAGTCCTTTGCCCTCTGCTTAGCTTTTTTTGGGTACAGCTTCCACAGTACAGGTCCTGATCTGATCAGCTGCCATTGATCACTTGCTGGCAGCGCATACTGCAGGTATGTAATTTTTATCTTTCTGTTAACATTACAAAAATTCCCCAGCACTTGATCCGGCCAGTCAGCAGAAAAAAATGTATGTATAAATTGTTTTCGGCTGTTGCCAATGTAAACTAAATTAAGAGCAGACTTAGGCCTCATTCACACTGCCGCACGTATGCGCGCGTACGTGCGTATTGTACCATATGCAACCTATGCAAATAAATGGCTCCATACACACAGCCGCGTATAGAGCCGTATATTTGCGTAGCGTATATATGTGCAAAAACAGAATGGAACAGAGATGCGTCCGGGCAGCGTATCTCTGCATATTTACGCGCATATACGCGTGTTTACGTGCCTATATACGCGTAAAGCACATTAAAAATTCCATTACGAGTGATGCATTCTGGGATTGCATATAGTGCACGCATATACGCGCATATACACTCGTATACACGCGTATATATACGCATAGACGCGTATATACGCAATATACAATTTTGCTTGCGTTGTGTGTGAATGAGGCCTTAACGTGGAGGTAGCCCCTATCCTCATTAAAGGTACAGCAACACACCACAAGCTCAGATTTAGGGTAGCTGAAGACCTCCAATGTGTATTTGTACTAAATCCACACTTAGGGCAGTATACCAAACCATAAGAAATTCCCTACCATTAGATTCAGCCAACCAGCACAAAAAAAAATAATTATAAGCTGTTTCCAATTTTTAATTTACAAATGTTTGCAACACAAATGTTTCAATTGCAAATGTATGTGATGCCCTAGGTGCCAAGGTACCTAGACGAGTCACAAACATTAAATATGCATGTGCATATGGTATCATAAATTTGATGTGAACATGCTTGTTGCTGGCCAATGACTTACTTAGCAGTGAGGAAAGGATAAGAATGACAGCCCTGGAGCAGTAATTAAGCTGTACTTATTTCTTCTGCAGCCACAACACACGGTCCCCGATGTCTTCATCTGGCTTCTCAGTAACAACAAGCGAGTGGCCTATGCCCGGATACAAGCCAGAGATATTCTGTACTCCCCGGTGCCTGAAGAGAAAGGCCACCACTGTGGAAAGATCAAAACACTTTTCTTTAAAGTAAGTAGCTGACACCCGAAGAGTTCAGGATCTCACCTTTCTGGAGCATCTGTTACTTGGTACACTTTTTCAAATATAAAAGGCTGATCAGCCTTTATGGCTTAGGTGCCCTGTTGAGGGTCAGCCATACAGTTACCTTAGGCTGTATACAGCCAGCATGCTACTCCAAGATCACCGCATGATCCATATGATTATTTTAGTAAAACATAAAATACTAGATCGTGCTGACCACTTGTTTGGTCTCTGAGACTTCTGACTTCTGTCAGCATCCCCTGCACCCGCATCTCTCTACAGTTCTGAGACCCCTTCTCTGTACAGTTCTGACCCTTCTGAGACTCCTCTCAGCATCTCCTGCACCCCCTTCTCCCTACAGTTCTATGCCTTCTGAGCCTCCTCTCAGCATCCCCTGCACCCCCTTCTCCCTACAGTTTTGAGCCTTCTCAAATTCCTCCCGGCATCTCCTTGACCCCCTTCTCCCTACAGTTCTGAGACTCCTCTCAGCATCCTTTGCACCCCCTTCTCCCTACAGTTCTGAGACTCCTCTCAGCATCCACCTGCACTCCCTTTTCCCTATATTTCTGACCCTTCTGAGACTCCTCTCAGCATCCCCAGCACCCATTTCTTCCTACAGTTCTGAGCCTCCTGAGACTCCTCTCAGCATCCCTTGCACCTCCTTCTCCCCATAATTCTTTAAACCTTCTGACTCCTCTCTACATCTCTCAACACAATCCCTCTACAGTTCTCTAAGCATTCTCACTCCTCTTATCTGCCCTCTAGCTCCTTCCCCCAACAACTCCCTGAATCTTCTGACTTCCATGAACATCTTTCAATTCTTTGGCTGAATTTAGCTACACATGTCCAGATGTGGACAGAAGAAGGAGGAAACATTTTCAAAATGTTATCACAATTAGTAAGTTTTGAGGCTTGGTGTTGTCCACTTTAGTCCTGTTGCCCTAGACAATGGCCTTGTGAAGCACTGGCGGGCAGGATTGTGGACAGTGTTTGCATGTCAATTAGATTTCTTACTGACACTAATTAGTCTCAGCTGTCCACAGGCCTTTATATATCAGAGTTAATGTATGCTACAGATTCCCTCTTTCATGTTCTCTGCTGTGACAGCCTGCTGCTGGGTGAAAAGGCTGAGTGCTGACAAAACACTAAAAAGTAGACATGTTTCCTGTTTGTGTTGAGGAACTATTAGGGAGCACCCTGTTAGTCAGGAAATGACCTGAGATTAGTTGGTATCTCGGATGAGCATATTAGCATTTACATACCTTTCTCCGCCTTTGTGATCTCCTGCCTTCCTGCAATAAAGTGTTGGTACTTGAGGGGCCAATCACCAGGCCCAATCAGTGTCATATGACAGCGGGTGAACTATGCACAACTTCTGTGTAAATTCTAACTTAATCTGCAAGTTGAAATATATAGGAGCCTCCAATGGTCAGGCAAGGGAAGAGCACAGAAGGTAAGTACATGTTTATTGGGGTCCCAGCAGAAAAGCAACTTGTTACTTTGCCCAATACGAACAAAGTATAGATTCCCTTTAAATCTCTGGCTCAATAGATGAAATGTGCATAGAGCTGGGAGTCCGAGACACTGCATAAATTAAACATATTGCACAAAAATTGAATTCTATTTTGTGTTATAACATTAATGTAGCTGCCGGCAGCATTAAAATTAAAATATTTTATTTTGCAAACTAATGCAGGACCAAGAGCTCTTTTCCTGGGTGATGAATTCCTTGTAATGCTTTTTTTCTCCCCCGCAGCTCCCAGGAAAGAGAGGTCCAGGCTGGAATGTTCAGGCAAAGGTTGATGTATTCCTATGGCTGGGCTCCAGCAAGTACTCCCACTCTATCTTTGAGAACTTACCCATCGGATATGAGATTGAATCTGAACAAGCTTCTAGCGGGCACCATGGGCCACCACCGCCGGGGAATCTGGTATATAAAAGTAGGAAAACTTGCCTTTTATTTCCTATGGTTTACCGGTAGTACATAATCAGCATAACTTGACTTCTTATTCACAGCATTAAAATATATGACACATTAGGAATGAGAAGTCTGTCTACAATAGGTTGCAGTCTAAAAAAAGGGAAAGATACAAGATGGAAAAAAAGGTCAAGTACTTTGATTCTGCATTGATTAACTAACTAGGCAGATAGTTCCATCGAGAATTCGATCAAAATCAAACCATATCAATGAACTTCTCTTATTTGCTCCCTTTTGGTCTGTTAATCACACCATTGAAAGTTTCTTGTTTAATCTATTTAATAAGTGCAAAAATTTTCCTGTTAATCCTTCCTGAAGTCTTGTGAGCTAACATCCTTCGCTGTCTGCCTGTGCTGATCATTTTCAGTTACATTGCTCCCAACTGTCTCTAAGGACTACAGAACTCCTCCCCTCAGTGCTATCAAAAAGAAGGGAAGAGAAGGTGTTTGTAGTCCTGTCCCAGAGTGGCAACTCTGCTTCTCCATAGATATGGTACAAGCGTTGCCACCCTACAATAGCAAAATGAAAATAAAATTTTAAAACAACCTGAAATAAGAAACGAATGCATCCACTGCATCTGAAGAACGGCAAGGAGCAATATAATACATTTTTGGTTTTTGGTTTAGATAAGTTTTACATCGAGACTGCCCACAATTTTTTGTGTTAAGATCTACTTTTCAAATGACGGGCTCAATCGGATCTTCCAACGAAAAAAAACACCTCACTCTCTCTCTCCTGGCTGTCTCTCCTCTGTCTCTTCCCTGGCTGTCTCTTCCCTGGCTGTCTCTGCTCTCTCTCCCTGGCTCTCTCTCCTCTCTCTTCCCTCGCTGTTTCTCCTCTCTCTCCCCTGGCTGTTTCTCCTTACTCTCACCTGGCTGTTTCTCCTCACTCTCTTTTCTGGCTGTCTCTCCTCTCTCTTTCCTGGCTGTCTCTCTTCACTCATCTTTGGCTTCTCTCCTCATTCTTTCTCCTGACTGTCTCTACTTGCTCTCTCTCTCCCGGCGGTCTCCCCTTGCTCTCTCTCCTGACTGTCTTTCCTCTCTCTCTCCTGTCTGTCTCTCCTTGCTCTCTCTTTCTTTCCTGGCTTTCTCCCCTTGCTCTCTCTCCTGACTGTTTCTCCTCTCTCTCTCTCTCTTGGCTGTCTCTCCTCACTCTCTCTCCCGACTGTCTCTCTTCACTCTTTCTCCTGGCTGTCTCTCCTGGCTCTCTTTCCTAATTCTCTCTCCTGACTGTCTTATTTCACTCTCTCTCCTGTCTGTCGGGCCTCGCTCTTTCTCCTTGCTGTCTCTCTTCACTCTCTCTCTTGACTGTCTCTCTTCTCTTTCTCTTCTGGCCATCTCTTCTGGCTCTCTCTCTCCTGAATGTCTTTACTGGCCCTCATGCTTGATCAACATTCACTTATACCAACTCAGTGGGTTTTCTTGTGAAACAAAGCAAAGTCTTACTCTTAATCAAGCTGTGCTGTATTGCCCAACAGGAGCTGCCATGAATAAATTATTTATTTTTGCCCTCATACCTCCACAGTGGCCAAATTCCATGGGGAGGGTGTCTTGTCCTGTCCTCCTGCGTGTCCTCCCATATGTCTTGTTTTGACACGTTTGGCCACACTTGTACCAAGGGAGGGAGCTTGGGACAGCGAGCAGACTTACAATCGGAATCTACCATTGTTAGATTTGCGAACGACTGGTAGATCGTGATCGACCTAATGGGCACCCCTGCTAAACATGGTGCCAAAAACCCTTTGCCCCCTTTTTATGATTGGATGAAAATTTCAGTTGGAAACCCACAGTAAATCAATTTGCTTTCCAGCGGATTGTTTTTTTCTCGTTGTGCACAATCATGCATGCGCAACTTTTTTCACTGCATTGCAAATCAATGCTGCTGGAAGGTGTGTTGGGCTGCCATTCAAATGAATGACAACACAACTAGTGCACAGCACGCTAGGTTACTGTGCAATAGGGTGCGCTAAGTGGTAATGTGCACTTAGCTTAACTCTCTGGTGTAACTGGGCCCTTTGATGTCAGAGAGGAAAGCTACTGGTTGGTGAGAGTTACCATCCAATCCGGAGAAAGGATTGGGACATCAATTGTATTTCCTGTGTCAAAGAGTAACAGTCTAAAAGCCTAGCTATACAATATCTGTGTCTCTTAATAAAACATACCAAACCTTCTTAAGCGCAGAAGGAAAGGTAAGCTTAATGGTCAGCAACAAAATATTATAGCCATTATAATGCAGTAATACTTCAAGGGCCCATTAGAATTCCAGAACATTGACTCCGCGTGTTCACATCCATTATTAAACCCATAGATCAGACACTAAACTGTAAGTAACAGCCACAGGCTACATAACACATCATGGAGGGGAGAGATTAATGGCGGAGGGGTATACGCTCTCGCTAACATGTTTTCTCATTGCTTTAAATCTTATTGCCTAGTAATAAACATCCAGCTAAAAAAGGTCCTGAATCTTTAGCACAAGCAGAAATGCCAAGCCTCTGTCTGCTACGTATTTTATGTGACTCTTTAAATGGGAATGTATAGCAATTTTATATATACTTTCTTCTTTTTATGGTCAGGACTAAAAAGAGCCTATTGTCTACAGCGCTCAATAGCTTAAGCTGACATTACCACACGAGTGCAAAAGCAGTGATTCCTCCGACTCACTCCCGCCATAGCGCACTGCCAGAGGCTTAAGGCTGGCCATACACTGCTCTATTATTTCGTTCATCCCGCGGGCTGAACAAAAAAATAGAGCATCCCGCTGTTTGCATTGCATTGCAGTGGCTGCCCGCCATTGTCAGAATACCCGACCAGAACCAGCAGCTTATTGGCTGCTGGCTCTGGTTGTATGAAGATTTTCTGGGCGGCTCCTTTGATCAGTTGTTCGAGGGATGCCGGCCGAAAGGGTGCCGACAGCGGCGCACACTGAGAATTTTGTTCCCGTTCCTCAAAAAAACTTCCACAATTCGCAGAGTGTATGGGCACCCTTAGGCACAGACTAAAATTAAACTGTGCTCTCTGTTTAGAAAACACACAGTCATACCTCTGAACCTTTAAAAGTCAGGAAAGCCTGAGTTTCCCGAGGGTTTGGAGTATGGGCCCCAGGGACTTGGGTAGTAATGTGTGGGAAAATGTGGGGATAGTAGCGGTGCACATAGCGCACTGCAGTGAACTGAAGCTGTTAACAGCAGCAAGCTTGGTGTGCTATGGCAATATATGGATAAAATAATGGTAAATGCCACAAGCGCCAGCACCTGAAACTGTGTAGCATAGATAAGGGTAGTAGTACACTCTCGAGGCAGCTCCCACTGGTTAGGGCAACCAAGAAACTGAAAGATAAGACAACGAGAGAGCCTCCATCGTGTAAAAACGTTTTAATGAAGCAATAAGTTGGTTCTGAAGAAGTCGCCGTGACCTTTGAAACGCGTAAACCAGAAAGGACATACAGCTCGTCAGCTGCGGTCTACATACACCTTCTGTGGTTTCCGATCATTCCATCTTTCTCATGCCTGCTAAATTCACATGTTTGTGAGTATGTTTTTAGCTGCATTCTTATTGCTCCATTAAAACGTTTTTACACGATGGAGGCGCTCTCTTTGTCTTATCTTTCAGATAAAATAATGGTGTTGAAAGGTCTGCAGGGGATTACATTGTAGTAATATTGTCCTCTAAACAAATGCTGTAACTCTAACTGACAATACATGGGCTATATACAGGTAATTCTTACAATATGTTTTTTTTAAAGATGCTTTTTATTATATTTTATATAAACATACAATACATAAAACATTGACTATACATTCCTATCAGTGCTTACTGTCTCAGTACAATAGAATAAGAAAGTAAAGTAAGGCAATCAAAAGAAATCAGAGGAAGATATATAATTGCATATCAACACTATTGTGAGGAATAACTCAAGAAAGATCAGCAGTCGTATCGACAACCATGTACCCCATATACGTTCAAAACACTGCGGGTTGCCCCTTTGTTCATAAGTAATCTTATATAGGGGCAGTATGTCTGTGAAGGTTCTCATTCATCCAGGTCATGGTATATCTGTAAAAAATAAGTCAAGGCAAATGGACTTACTGTATTTTTCTTGAAGATGTTTCACTGGTCATCCAACCAGCTTTCTCAATTCAGAACGACTTGTACAAAAAAATTATCTGGGAATAAATATGGTGAATGTTGCTCCAATCCACATAATCTGTTAGTCGAAACCAGGTGTTGATTGCATTTGCATAATTGGAGCTAGGAGGTGTTAATAACCTGCCCAGATAGAGGTGTTAAAACAGCAGAGGTGTTAAAACATGTTCCTTTTAAATTAAAAATACAGAGTTTTATATCAGCCTGGAGTTCAGCTTTAACATTTTGTAATACTGTATATACATAACAATATACTAGCAAAACACATTAATATCAATACAATAGTAGTATATAAAAAAAAAAAAAAACAATATAAAATTACATTATATGCACAGTCCTTTTTTTGGCAGTCAGTAGAAATTAGCTCAGGTTCAAAACTGAACCCGGCCCAAACCTGAGCTCCTCCAAACAATAAATCAGCTGTGGCCAGGGGGATTCCCTTCTGACAGCTGCACGTAAACAAAGGTTCATGTTTCGGTGATGTAATTGACGTTATATGGCCACATGGCTATATTATGTCAATTACATCACCCTAATATGGCCATGTGGCCATTTAAGGTCAATGACGTTGGCACAAGCATCCCGCCACTTTGTTAATGTGCAATTGTGAGGTGGGGAATGCCCCGCCCTGCAGCTGATTGGCGGGTGGCCCCAGGAGTCTTCCAGGATTGGACTGGGTTCGGTCTGAACCTGAGTTCATCCCTAGTGGTCAGTGGGACAAGTGTTACTTACATAGTAAGGATCGGTGGAGAAGCATTGGCAGCAGAGGAGACGGAGGATTGTAAATTTTTGCGACTACAAGATGCAGAGACACTTTGGTTGTGTGCATTTTGCCTGTGATCTCTGCTGTCTGATCAGTGTGTATCAGTGTGATGATGGGTGCTGTAGTGATAGCGGATGTTGCGGCTCAAATCCGATCCTTCATTAGGCTCAATATCGAGGAACCCTAAGTGGCCTCGAAACGTTGCTATCTTTGTAACATAATGTGCACATAATGTGTCAATAAAGACGGAGTTTGCATGTAAATCCTCTATGTGCTGGTGACAATTCGTTTCCATTGTATTGTCTGATGAAACCATAACAAAATCCATTGCAGCTAGGATGGAATTTGGCAGAGGTCACATCTTGGTGCAGCTTGAGTATCTGCAGCTTAGATCAGCTCGGCTGTTCAATGAACAGATATTCTGATTCATATTGGGCTTTGTAAGTCTTAGCAAGATTCTGTACTGCCAAATCAAAGGCCAGAAAAGATTGTCAGAATCACACCTTTGTTTCATCTTTTTACTCTTTAAAGATAATCAATATTGTGCACAGGGTCTCCATTATCTGCAATGAATTAATGTATGATGTCTTATTGATTTCTTGCAGCTAAACACCTGTTCCAGTTGCGTGCCCACATGTATCAGGCCCGAGGGTTAATAGCTGCAGACAGCTCCGGCCTTTCGGACCCTTTTGCCAAAGTGACTTTTGTTTCACACTGCCAGACAACAAAGGTAAATCAAAAACATAGTCAGTGATGTGTGTACATGAGGTGAAGCACAGTCCTTCTCTGTATATGTAGATGGAGTAGCTAAGCAAGGAGGAATACTGTGTTGTACACTGTGCTCATCCAGTGTCCCCGGAGTCACACGTGACCCTTTGGCACTTATTGTGGGCGCCTAGCCTCTTATAACGTGTCCTCTAAAGCATGCCCCCAGTTTCCAACAACTCCTATAGAAGTCTCTGACCATCTCTAGCAAAATGTCTGTATTCTCTAAATATTCCATGCTGTGTCGTAATCTTTGACCTCCTTATATTGCATGTCTGCAATCCCTGACCATCCCTTGTAGCATGTCTTAAGTCTAAATATTTCTTGCAGTGCACGTAGTCATTGACCCCTCCATTGCTGATGTCAGAGGCAGCACCCAAGGTCCCCTATAAATTTGACCACCGCTACTCTTATCTGTAAAAAAACAAATTTTTTTACTGATGAACCATATCTAATCCAATGGCACAGTGTTCCATGCAGGTTACCATTAGTTGAAATATGTAAAATCCGCGCTTATGGATTAATATATATATATATATGTAAAAGCTGCTGCGCTAGGGACACTGGGGTCAAAGATGTATGTGAATGAGTGTGCAGCGCTCGGGGTCACCGATGGGTGAACTAAAAACTATCAGGTTGTTGAATCTGTGTTGTTAAATCAAAGTGTAGGTATTTATAACCTTTAGTGCATATTCTGCTACCATACCCTAATGGTAGCCAGTAAGATATTAAGTACATTAAGTCATTTTTTATAATAAGGTTTATTTCATTGCACTGAGTTTACCCAAGCCCACTCAAACCTGTGACTACTAACACCCCCCTCCCCCCTCCTGTTGCAGAGAGGCGCATTCCCCTCTCTGCAGCAACACGCCACAAAGGGTCAGTAAACGCCTCTTTTGCAACTGCTGCCACTGGTTTGATTGGGACAGGAGGGGGTGTCAATCATATTTTGGAACATGCTTGGGCAAACTGAGGCAAAGCCCAAGCTCATCATTAGTGTTGATGACTGTCTTAATGCATGTTCAGGCATTTTGGGGGCATTCCTTCCATTTCTAAAAGTCTCCCGACACATGTAAATGTGTTAAACAACACATGTGACCCTTCAATTCACAAGAATGCATAGATGGGAATACATATGAATTGTGGTGTGCTGCATGACAAAAATAAGTCAGGGGCAGTTTTTGCTCCCTGACTTATTTTTGTATGGACCCCTACAACACAACAAAGGAGTAGACAGTAGTCTTGCGCCTTACAGTGAATCTGTGCTTTGCCCATGTCATGCAACCTCCATGATGATTGAAAATATGCTACATGACTAAGATGTATTTACTTCACTGAATCCTATTCATTCTGACCAGTGGCACCTTCAGTGTTTTAAGCTCATTACAGATTAGCTTAATATTGATTTATATTACAAGTGATCCTGATATCAGTCTGTCTGTCCCACAGATTATTTCACAGACGTTGTCACCCACCTGGAACCAAATGCTGCTTTTCAATAACATCATCTTGCATGGAGAGTTAAAGGACATTGTAGACGACCCCCCGAATATCGCCATAGAGCTGTATGATGATGATGCACTGGTGAGGAACAAAGCTATAATTCATAAGTTACTTTGTGTTGAGTTGAGTAATGTTTATGTTTGAAAAATAATGTCACACATTACCTAATTAATTCAAGAGCTTTTTGATCCCTTTTCTGCATTCAGTCAGTGCTTAGTTTAGCTGCTGGGGTAGCTGTTAGGGAAGATTTTTCCATTCCTATTAATTTCTAGAAATAAATATATGAATGCAAAAATACAAATATGTTTCCTATTAATTTCTATGTATAAGTAATCCACCCAGCAACCAGTCCTTATCAGCGTGATTCAGAAGGCCTCAGACAACACAGCCCTAGGCTCTCCAGTGGAAGCTAATGAGCTTCAGATTGTATATCCCCAAAAAGCCTCCTCTCTGTGAATAAGTAGAAGGAGTTCAATCCTATCTTCTAGACCCTTTTAAATACTTATGTGTGATGGTTATGTGTACATCTTCATCAAGTGTTAATTTAAGGGTGAGTCAAATCCAAAACCTATATCTACTTTATGGAAAGCTAATGGGCCAAGTCATCCACCACTTCTTATATTTGATAAAGATTAATTGACTTGGTATCCGCCTCTTGTAATCTATTGCACAGTGAAATCCAGACTGGGAACGGCTGGGGGAGATCATTTTTTACTCTCATTTATAAATATGAAAACTGTTCAGTGATATCTTCTGTGAGTGAATCTTGAAGCATTTTTTCATGTAACTTTTATGAAGTATTTTATTGACCGTCTGTGTTTATTACCTTTCAGGGTAAACCAGAGTACATTGGATCCACTGTTGCTGCTCCATCAGTCATATTATCAGATCAGACCTACTCTCCTGCCAAGTTGACTTATTATCCCTTATTCTGTGGCAATCTGTCTGGGGGAGATCTGCTAGCTGCCTTTGAATTACTACAGGTATGGTGTTACTTATATACATGGTTGTATTAAGAAATCATGGTGTTCTACACACACCAGATTGATGATACCCTTTTCTACATGGTACTGATAGCACTAATGGTTTTATGAATTGGGTACAAACCTGGAAGTATGCTCGCTTTGGCTCTGCGGGATCAACGTCTCCGTTCCTTTGTTTGCCATATAGATTCTGGTGCTGGTGGGTTGAGGAGTTTGAAGGATATTGCCAATCAGTTTATGTTTTTTTTTAAAACTCTCTATAATTCATCCCTGATGCCTACTGGAACTGCTTTGGGAGAAAAGGTTACTCAATAACTGGAGGCTTCCAAGATGACCGATCAGTGCTGGAGGGCCCGATTTTGACTGGCAAGCTACTCCAGGCATTAAAAGAATCCAAACCCCATAAGGGCCTGGGTCCAGATCGCTTTACGCTAAACTACTATAAATGTTTCCCTCCCCAATTGCTCCACCTATTTCTTAGAGCTTTTAACTCCATGCTGGAAGGACGGGAGTTTCCACCGGATACGCTATATACCGCTATATCTGTTATACTGAAAGAAGGGAAGGGTGACGCTCAATGTGCCAATTACTGGCCAATTTCATTACTCAATGTGGACTTAGCCAACAGATTACTCCCCTTCATTCCACAACTGATCTACAATGACCAGGTGGGGTTTGTCCCCAATAGGGAAGCCAAAGAAAATATTACACGGGCCCGTAACATTATTCATATGGCACATGTAACAAATACTGTTACGCTTCTTTTTATGTACAGATGCAGAAAAAGCCTTTGATAGGCTTGACTGGACGTTTCTGAAAACCACTCTATGTTATGTGGGCTTCAGGGAGGCTATCAACACCTGACTTGACAGACTCTATTCTTCTCCCTCGGTGACTGTTAGGATAAATGACATGTCCTCTGAAAGTTTTACGCTTTCCAATGGAACGCGACAGGGATGCACACTTTCCCCGCTTTCATTTATTTTGACCCTGGAGCTTTTTCTCTGCCATGTGCGGTCCAACCTGAATATCATGGGTTTTACTTAACAAGGGTCTACCCATAAAGTAGCTGGGTATGCTGATGACTTTTCATTCTTATCTTCAATTAAAACAAATTTTCCCTTTAAGTGGGCTCAACATCGAATCAGATACTTTGTGATTTATCCTACATCTTAATTGCCGAGTATCTTTGCTGCTAAATTTCCACCATTTCTAGCAAGCTTTAGACAAGACCTTCAGTGTTGGACCAAGGACGTTTTCACTTGGTTTGGACATAATAGTATCCTCAAAATGAGCCTACTTTCATGCCTTCTTTACTAATTGCAAACTTTGTAGATTCGTTTTCCTGCGGCTTTAGTTAAACAACTGCAAACAGAATCCTGACCCTGTGAAATATCATAAGGGGGGTTCATATGGCATGTGCTCTAGACTGGTGCAAACGTGGATCTGGTAAACGCTGGCTTCAATTAGAACAAGTTTTTTTTCTCACATCCCGCTTGGGGGACTTCTGTGGTTGGATAGGTCACTGGCTAATTGTGCACGTACACACCCGCCAATCGGTGCCACCCTAGACGTTTTCTGGTCGGACTGCCGTTTTCTTCTGTCTGAGCAGTGCCTTCTCTTTTGACCCCAGTACTTGGACATCCTCCTTTCCCCATCTCATGGTCTGATGAGTACTGGCAACCTCTGGTTTTGTCTGCTTCCTATCAAGTACATAATTTTTGGTCTTCTACAGGTTTATGCTTCCCGGCAGTCATTCGTTCACGTACTGACCCTCCACTCCCTTATTGGAAGGCTCTGCATATCCACCAACTCGTCACCCACTCTTTGGGAGGGTTGACGGACCCGTCCCAACTCACAGCTTTTGAACAGATGTGCTTCGACTCTGCTCCAATCTGTCATGGCTTGTCCCTGTCTTATCATCTGTGGAATGACCCGAATCACCAGTAATCCGCCCCCACCATATTTAGCGAAGTGGGAGAGGGACCACCTTTGCTGATAGCCAGAAGGATCGGATATTACTAATGACTCATAAGGCGTCAATATCGAGTAAGATTCAGGAAACGTGATTCAAAATTCTTTCCCGTTGGTATGGAGTCCTAAGTTGTTACACAAAATTTTCCCACAGTGCTCGCCCAGCTGCTGGAGGTGCCAAAAGCAGGAGGGTACTCTGTTGCACATCTATTGGTCATGTTCTGTACTTAGACTATTTTGAGATCAGGTGGGGGAAATTTGCCATAGTTTTCTCCTTTGGCGATGACCTGACGGCCTATCTCTTGCATCTTACGCCACTGTCACTGAAGCAATACCGGAGGTGCTTGCTGCTTCATTTGTTGAATGCGGCGAAGGCATGTAATCCCCTCTGGTGGAAATCTACCTCAGCCCCGACTATTAAGCTTTGGTTCGCGAAGGTTAATGAGAACAGAGACATGGAAGACCTTCTGGCCTCAGCTGATCATAGAGAGGAACATTTCAATCACACCTGGTTTTACTGGCATGTTTTCACTAAATCCCCGGATTATATTAGAATACTTGACTCATCTTGACTGCAATTATGGATGGACAGCCTCTTGAGGACCTGTGGAGGGAGTTGGTGTGGTTTTACCCTATTTTGGTTGACATCTGGAGTTTAAAGCTGGTGGGCTACAGGCGGTTATGGGGACTATATCTTGCATTGTGCATGGAGAGGTGGTGTCACTCTCCTTTCTTCCTCCTCTCATCCACCCCCTTTTTCATCCCTCTGCCCTCCGCCCCCTTTTTTTTTCTTCTCTCTCTCTTCCTTCTTTTATGTAGTGTTTCTACTCAGTGTCAAGGCGGTTCTTTGCAAACCCTTGGTTCTACTCAGGAGTCCGTAGTACCTACATGGGGTTCATCTTATTTATATGTTTTTATTGTTATTCTTGGGTTACCTCTGTATGGTGGGTCTATGATCAAGCCCACGTTTAGTCGAGCAACAGTTCGTATTTGTCCTGTTTTTCTATTTGATTGGCCCTATTCTCCTGTATGAGTACTTATTTCTTTGTATTTTTGCTTCTTGTCACATTCCTGCTTGTTCTGTCATTGTTATTGTTTAACATGTTTTAAATAAAGAATTTACAAAAATAAAAAAGGCAATTTGCAAAAAATCTAGTCAAACTCTGCTCTGTGGTTTCCCAACCGACTATTTCTTTACTTGTTCAGATTCCTGAATCCGGAATCCAGAGCCTGCCACCCATTGAGACCCCAGATCCCAGCCAGGTCTATCCCGTCCCAGCGAACATCCGCCCAGTACTAAGTAAATACAGAGTAGAGGTAAGTACACAACTCCCTCATAATATACGCATACAATGGTAAAGGTAAAATCTCTAGCAACCAACAGCTCACATTTTTGCTGCTTAAAGTGAAACTAAACTCAGGAGTTAAACGTCTGTGAAGGTTCTCATTCATCCAGGTCATGCTATATCTGTAAAAAATACGCCATGGTCATCTAACCAGCTTTCTCAATTCAGAATGACTTGTACAAAAATTCTGAATTTTTGTACAAGTCATTCTGAATTGAGAAAGCTGGTTAGATGACCAGTGAAACGTCTTCAAGAAAAATACAGCAAGTCCAGTTGCCTTGACTTATTTTTTACAGATATCAGGAGTTAAACCTTAAAAATGCATTTCAGCACCTTAACTATTAACAAAAATGTACTTAGCTGTAGATCCTCAAATCATCTCTAAATTCATGCTGACATTTTCCTTCCTTCTGGAGGGGGGCTACTTTTGTTCCCCATGGTCCCTGGGAGTGCTGTAAAGTACCACTCCAAGCTCACTCCTGTTATGGACTACAATCTCATGTTTAGTTTTCTAATTTGTATTGAGATTGTAGTCCATCATGGGAGTGAGCTTGGAGCGGTGACTACTTTACAACACACACAGGGACCATGGGGAACAAAAGTATCCCCCTCCAGAATGAAGGACAGTGTCAGTACCAATTCAGAGATTAGTTAAGGATCTACAGCCAAGTGATACACAAATAAGGTGCGTTATTGTTAATATTTGAAAACATTTTTAAGATTTAACTCCTGAGTTTAGTCTCACTTTAAGTTTGAATCAATCGGGAATAAACAATGGAGATATTTTTGGGGGCCACCATTCCTACTGTAGTATATCAAGTTGCTAGGAACCTGTGACATCATTGTGGTTTGAGCCTGACAATTAGCTTTTCACAAAGAGTGTCTGAAAATATGTCCCCTGTAAAATTAGGAGAATAGAATAATTGTTCTAATGCACTCATCAAGTCCATTTGGTAAATGAGATATATGCACACAAAGTATACAATGTACGTTGTAATACTATATTATCCTAATTTACATATGAATGCCAGTTACTCCCAAATTGCCTGAAGAAGAGGCCCATGTGCCACGAAAGCTTGTACTAGAATGTATTTAGTTAGCCACTTAATGGTATCACCCTAAATCCAAACTTTGTCTATGACTAACACAATGCAACACTCTATGCTGCATATTAAAGGATATTTTGATGACTGTTTTTATGAACGTAATTTGAAAGCCTCTACTACCTATTGATGTTCATACATTTGACTGTTGAATGATATAGATTGGAGATAAGCAATAGAAGCAATTAAGGATCAGGGCTTCATCTCAGCTTGGGCAGAGGTCAAAGCCCAATGGGATCAATTTGAAACGAGTACATGTACTTGGAGACACCATGAGGTTCTTGCATTCAAGCACTATTGCTACCTTAGAAACATTGCAGGGCATAAAACCGCTAATACCTCCTCAGACAAGCAATATTTTCTCACCATGAGTTATTTTATATAAGGGCTCATATTATGTACAGTTTCTTGCTATTCTTGCTGTACTGTGGCAGTTAATGATCTGAGAACTTTATATCACCGGCTCACCCACCCCTTCTTTTGATGGATTCAGTTTTTTACTATAAATGTTTAATAAATAGGTCATTGACTTATCTTTTATGACTCTATTAGGTTCTCTTCTGGGGTGTCAGAGAGATGAAGAAGGTGCAGCTGCTGTCTGTCGATCGCCCACAGGTGTTGATTGAATGTGCAGGGAAAGGAGTTAAATCCTGCGTCATTCAAAGTTACAAAAGCAATCCCAATTTCAATGTTGTTGCAGACTGGTTTGAAGTGGTAAGCTGAATCCTTCTCCATTATACTGAAACATGTCTATTTGGTGGCTGAGATGTGTTACATTAGTGATTGGTGGGGGGAAAAAGAGCTTTTCAAGACTTTTGTGCAGAACTGAGTGCGGTTTTAACTTGACTTATGGACAAAACCAATTGGGGTGGACGGTCAATTTATGGTGCACATTAAGCTGAAATCTAGGTGGATATGAAAGGCACAAATATATGCAGCCGTGGATTTATGAATAAGTCAATAAATAAAAAAATAGTATTTTGTGCCATGTTCTTCCCATATATGTGTCTATTTTTGTAAGCAATAATTAATAGATTAAAGCCCAAACTTCAAGCTCTGCTCCCCCTCAACCAGTAGTCCACCTTGGCAATATTTTCAGCTTTTTTCACCCAGAAGTCTTCAGGCCAGTTATGTAATGCACATGGTCCTCTTCCTCTTTGGGTCTTCTGTGGGGATGGGTGGTCCTAAATGATGCAGATGTGATGGCATCAGTGCCAATGCTTGCATCACTCTATGTGAGTACAGGGTGCTTCAGGGGACAGGTCCATAATGCCCTGTACTCACAGGATTTGCTCAGTCTTCCAAGTTGAATGACAGCATTCAGTCTGGAACACTAAGGGCAATTGCTGGTGGAAAGCAATTACTACGTGGGACAGGAGATGAGTATTGCAGACAGAGCTGTTTTTTTTGTTTTTAAAACCTCCTAGGGAGTTGTGCTTTAACCAAACAGACCTTCTACAATATGAATGAAATATCATGTTCAATAATTTCCCTATAGGAGCTGCCAGAAAATGAGGTTTTGCATCCCCCTCTAAGTATCTGTGTGGTGGACTGGAGAGCATTCGGACGTAGCACGCTTGTTGGAACACATATGATCAATTGTTTGAAGCAGTTTTTGAATAAACCTCCTGAGGTGGAGCCATCCTCAATAAAGGAGGTGGAAGAGAGCAGACCTCCAGCTGACTCGGGTGAGACCTCATTATATATAGTATTGGTGCAGGGTTTTCAGCCACAGTAACTACCATCGTCACTGTAATTGCAGAGTTCTCTTTCTAAAATTTCAAGTTGTCTGTCTGAAGAACCTCTGAATTGTCATACTCTTGTTCCTGGTGAGTGACTTAGAAATTAACAAAGTCACAACAGCCAGTCAACTAGAATTTTTAGGAGGAGATGAACAATTGCATTTCCTGTATTGGTCTCATCACAAGTTTACTTTTAGTACTAGAGTGAGGTTCAAGTTAAACCTACATTTTAGGTTCTTAGTTATATGTTAAGTGGTAGGTGTTTTAAGGAGACCAGTTAGGAGCTGTCATGTACCTTAGGGGGAGCCTGAGATGAACAGGGAGGTCTTTCTTGCTGCTCCAGTTCAAGCACCCTGGAGAGTTGCCTAGGTGCGCAAGGACAAGGAGTGGCACGGGTGGCCAGAAGATAGCGCAGTAACTGAGAGTGCTGGAATCAGTAGAATAGATGTCTTTCAAGCAGAAAGCAGGTGAAGAGTGCAAGTCTTCAATAGAGAGGTCTGGTCTAGCTGAGTCAGCAATGATCGGGCAGGGCGGTACCAAAACAGCAGACAATATGTAATCAGGGACAGACCGGATAAATATCTTGCAGGCAGCAGGGTACAAAACAGCAATGGAAGCAAAGTCTAAAACAAGCTGAGGTCGAGGGATTAAGGACAGCAATTGGAAGGTTAAGGCAAGCTGGGTCAGCAACAGCAAATCAGATCAGGATACCGGAACTTGATAGCAGAAAACAGCCGAAAACCAGTGAGCATGGATGCTACAATGTCTCAGCCTTAAAGGAGAACTATGAGGTGAGTGCTTTTCACTCACCTTATAGTTCTAGCCGACCTGTGACAATGAAACTGTCACAGGTCGGCTCAGTAGATCGGGAGGTGAGCGAACACATACCGGCGTTTGCTCACCTCTCAATCCTGTCACGGGAGGGGCTGGATTCCCCCGTCCCCGCTCCGATCCGCCAGCGCTGACTGGCGCAACAGACGGGGGAGGGGGCGGTACAGCTGGCTCTGCCTCTAGATAGGCAGAGCCAGCTGTCAGTCACGCAGCGGGGCGGATCCTGGCACAATTGTTGGGATCCGCTTCAGCTGCAGCGTCTCAGTATACCGCGAGCTGTCTCAGTAGCTCGCGGTATACTGAGCCTAGGGTGAAGGGAGGACGCTAGTTTGTGTCCTCCCGTTACCCTAAGGAGAACTATGGGGAAAAGCCTTAACCCCATAGTTCTCATTTAAATAGCCCATTTGGCGATTAGCTGAAAATGAGTGGAATGAATGCACATATCTGCACAGACAACGTGGAACATGCGCTCAGACGCCCGCCCACAGGCACGCGGCTATTCTATGTGCCAAACTGTGCTCACGCACATACACTTGCGCAGGGCTTTGGCCGCACAGGCTGGTTCTGGCTACCTGACAGGAGCTTAGAATCTTATATCTTTTTTACTGTCCTTACCTAAATACACTGGAGCCAATATTAGACAGAAGCTAATTAATCTCATTATCAGCATGGTTTTGCATATCATTTGTTTAGGCCGGGTTTCCCCAAGCTCATCAGCTCATTTACCCCTTTATGAAGTTTCAAGTTGTTTATTGACCCACCCAAATATTATTAAAAATAATTGAATAAACACTTTAAAAAAAGGTAGCTTAACCCCTGAGTCTTTTAGCATTCTTTGCCTATCTCAATGTATTATATACAGTATATCTATCTTTTATTTGGGGAAGATAGGGCTTTCATTTGGTAGCAGATTTGTATATATTTTTGTTTCTTAGAATTTTTCGGTAAGAAATTGTGAAAAGTTTGAAAAATGTCCTGTAGTTTACAACATTTATGTTTGCGCACCCACAGATGTTTAAACCCCCCAAGAAATGTGTAAATGCTGTTGACCCTTCCACTTGGTGACAGCAGCTGCCATTATGGTTGTTACAATACTGATGTTTTAGTAAATACAGAGCAATCGGTTCTTTGGCACCACCCCTATCACTATAGGTGTATTTACTGGCCCTCCAACCAGAGTTGGAGGTGGCTATACAATAGAATTTGAGGAAGGTGTACTGACTGGAGTTTGAGGTGGGGGAGTACATTCAGTATGATAAGTGAACATGTACATGTATCCTTCTCAGCAGGGGCTGACTGGCAACTTTTAGCCCAGGGGGCAAGTACAACCCAGAGGCCCCCCCTACTGGTATATAAGGCCAGTAACACTACACAGCTGTTAGAGACAAGACAAGGCCACACATGCTGGCATCTGAGCATCCAACCCTGGGTAACACTCTCTTGACCCCAGCAACATCATCTTCAGGACTAGAGGCCTGCATGAAGCTCTACAGAGACAACAAAACACGAACTGATCCCAATTGCAAGTGACTTGCACATGAATAAAAAAAATAATAATAATATAAAGGAAAAACACTGCAAGTAAGAATTTAAAATACTTACATTTTCTTTCAGAAGCTCCACAGCAAGATGCATCACAACAAGACCCAGGAGATCACATCTATGCTGACGTGGAAGCACACACAGCCCAGGAAACTCCTTCAGGACCAACCCCTTCACCTTCTCCAGTTCCTCCTGTTGCGCCTTCCCCTGACCCTGCTGCATATTCACTTCTGGAATCGGACACTACTCCTCTTGATCCCACATCTGGGCCACATGAGATCCAACAGCAGAGTCCAGGCCCAGATGGCCCTAAGCCAAGAACCTCATCAGCGACCTTTAAATCTCCCTTGAAGAAAGACACCAAACAAAAGGTGACAGTAGAGTTCCTCCGCTATTGTCTGTGGTGTGGTGGAAATGAAAAGGGAATGAGGCACAACCCTGCTAATGCAAGAAATGCAATGTCCTGTCTTTATATAAGCTATTATTATAGTCCAGTTGCAGCTTTCTTTCCTAATTTTTGTTATAATGCTAGGCTGCATAAAATTAAACTATTCAGCTATATATTTTGTTCTCGTTCAGTGGCCCATCTCCAGGTGTTCAACATGTCTACCCCCCCCCCCCCCCCCCCCCCGCCGTCCCCCCCCACACTCTCAA